GGATCACCGATGATTTCCGGTTCTCCTTCATACTTCATATTTTCTGCATTTGTGTCACAATAAACATCTATTATATTCATGATCAAAAATAAAAAGATTTTTTTTTAAAAATAAAGGAATATTTTAAGGAAGCTTGTTACCAAGAGAATTTCCAGAGCAAATCACTTTGTAAAGCAAATAAACAACACCTAATTCATACATTTCATTTAAAAGCCTTCTGTGTTTTAGAACTCCAGGTTTTCATACATGGACAGCAGGTCCCTGGAAGCAGGAAACATGCTTTATGCCTTAGGGAACGGAACCCCTGTCGGTGCCTGGCAAGGGCTCTGTACATGGGGCAGACGGTAAGGAAGCTGGCTGTGTTTGCTTAAAGAAGGCCACATTTGTGCTTTTTCCTTCAAAAAAAAAAAGGCATCAAAGTCTGAATTCTACCTTTACATGCAGTGAGTGTTCAAACGTGTTGAACCAAACGAGTTCACTGGGAAATGAAAAGAGCATATAGAAGGGTATCCGTGCTGGGATTACAGCTATGAAAAAAACACGCACTCACAGACAAGGGCAGGAAGGGATCATCAGGGAAGAAAACAGAGAGAGCATCGGTGCAGAATTATGAGTCATTGTTTTATTTTACTTAATTTCTCTAGCTGTAAATTTTTCAAAACTAATATAAGCATATTTTACAGCTCACAGAACATTTAGAACATATTAAAATAAGCCTCTTTCCACTGTAATGTGCCCAATTGAAATTTATGAATTCCAAAGCTACATTTTAAAGAGATGAAGGAACTGGCACTCCGCGTTCTTCAGATTAATCAGTTGGACTGTGTTGTTTTTCTCCTGATCAGAAAAGAAATCATTTTTCAGTAAATGTTACCTTGAATCAAGGATTCTTCCACATTCTAGAAGCTTGGATGAGCTGCTTATATTAAGTGTTACCGTGCCCCCTAGTGGCGAATCGGATTTATGCACTCCAAAGACAATCTATTCCCAAAGGCTTGCGATAAAATCCAAAAAATTTGTTTGCATCTTTATTGATCACTTAACATACACACAATTATGTACCAGATGCTATAGAGAATATAAAAATGGGTCTTGCAATGGTTCCCATGCTCAGGAAGCTTAAAATCTAGCAAGGTGAGGCAGATATGGTTCCATGGCTACTCAGGTAAACACGACCATAAGTCAAGGAAGGGAGAAAATTCTTGGGGAGAGCAGGAACTCGAGCACACACTAAGTGCCTACTATGTGCCAGGCACTGCACTAAGTAATTCATATCCAATATCATTTATTTTTCATGAAAACCCATCAAGGCATGTGTAACTATCTCCACCTTACAGATAGACAAATTGAGGCTCAGAGAAGCGAAGTAACCTGCCAGAGATCACAGAACCAGCAGGCTGCAGATCAAGGATTCAAACAGGTCTTGTGACCTCAGCCCCCAAGCTCTTCCCTCCGTTCTGATCCAGTTGGGGCAAGAGGGCTCTCCGACAGACTTTAACCAACAGAGGAGGGGAAAGGCACCCTCGGATGGCAATACGGAGGTCAGGGTGCAGTGTTGCACCCACCTCTTCTAGCTCAGGCCTGCTGCACCCACCATCTGCTCTCCACCAGGGACTGAGCTGCAGCTGGCTAGACTCTCGTCCTCACTCCAGACCCAGCACCCACACCCCACCTCCCCCAGATCACAAGGTTCCCAAGATCTACCTTGTGCTCTGCCTCTGACACCAGGGAGGGAAAAGAACACCGTGTGCTGCCTAGGCCACGCTCCAACCTGACGGCCCAGCATACATGCAGCCTCAGCCAGGACTCCCACCCCAGCTCCCTGCTGGACCCCCACCTCCCGTTCAGCCGCTAATCTGTTTTCTCATCCCAGCTCCTCCGGCCCCCACCACACATTCTTCACACTGAAAAGTTGCTCAAAGTCAATTTGCCCAAAACCAACTTGGTGAATAACCCTATCACTCAAAGCAGACAGGACTCTGGCCCTCCGTTTGCATCCATGGCTTATAAAAGCCCTGATTTTCAAGATGCCACAGTAACAAGACGGTCAGGAGATGCTGGCCCTGGCAGCCGTGGTCAGCACTGGCCTCATCCTGAGAGACTGACAATGCCTGACAGCCCAAGGGGCCCGGGCCATCATCATCACCTATAGCACACACTGCCTCCTCAAGACAGGTGGACACAGCAACAGTGCCCAGCCCACCTAGGGCAGCTCCACAGACCTGGACCTAGGTCTCAGCAAATTGCCCAAGAGCAAGGCTTTCCTATGACAGTCCCTGGGCCTGAGCTGCCTGAGCTACCATCCCAAGGTGGGCCAATTGCGCCCTCTTCTGGTCATGAGGCATCACAGTTAGTTTTGCTGCCCAGTTTCCCCTCCGTGGGGGCCGGAACATCTCTCCCTGCATCCATCCCCAGAGCACCATGCCTGGCACATTCGTCTGCTCCACAAGGCCGGAAATCAATGCTTCCACTCAGACGTTGCCTGCTCAAAAACTATCATGGGGATGCTTCTGTTTAGGAAATCTAGGTAGAAGTGACCCAAGCTGCCCAAGTTGTTCCACTCTGCTAGCAGGGCCCAGGGGTACTTCACTACGCCAGGTGGAGACTAGTCCCCAGCAGTCCAGGCTTGCTCCGCGCCATCAGGAGACAAGACTCGGGAGGTGGTAGGCAGGTGGACACCCACCTGCTGCCCTGCCATCTCTCCGCAAGGCAGCACCGAGTAGAAGGTGCTCCGCCCATCTCTGCCCACAGCAACCTACCTCCTCCTCCAGCCTGCGCTTCCGACTGCCCTCATCCTCCCTATAGGGTCGTAGAGAGGTGCCTGCCTGTGCCCCTCAGGTGGCCCGCCCCATAATCACAACTATCTTCCACAAAACCCCTGCCACATGCCAGAGTGTAGACTGGGTATTCTGGACACCCCGTTCACTCTGACGTCAGCCTGTCCGCACTGCCTCTGGAGGCAAGGCTACAACCACCTATGCAATGAGAGACACGGGAGGGAGGCCAACATGTCAGTTCTGCAAGGGTGAGGACTTTGCTTCTTCGGCACCCAAAATGGGGCCTTGCACAAAGCTAGAACCCGCTAAACACTTGCTCAATGGATGGTCCAGTGGGGGAGACTTTTCAGAGACAAAGACTTTCCACGCTGGGCTTTTTTCAGCAGGAATTTAACAGGCAGGAAAGTAAAGGGAAGGGACCCTAGAGAGAGGGAAGGGCAAGCGCCAAAGCATGGCAGGAAGAAGTTCCAACAAGAAGGTGAGCTCAGGGAGGACAACGGACCATCACACGGACCCCAGGGCCAGTCAGACACTGCCCAGGGCAGAGCAGGCCTAGCCCAGGTCCACCGGAAACCCTCCCAACGGCTCCCAACCCTCTGCAGCACAGACTCTCAGGAAGGAGAGCGGGGCAGCCCCAGGACCGGGGGATCGATCCAAGCATGCTCTGATCCACAGCGCAATGCCAGAGGCCTCCATGCAGACTTCACAGCCCCAGACATCTCAGAAGAAACACCAAAGACCCGAGTGAAAAATCCCGGGACCCCAGGCTGAAGACAGAATATGACATCCCCCACATAACTCCATTGGCCTTGCCAGAAAAGAATACCGACAAGCTACTTCAGGACTTCAATTGGCCACTTGAAAATGACACCCATCGATTCAGCTCATTTCAAAGACTTCACTACACTTGGAGCCTCCTTTTGTCACTTCAGAAAATGCCTCCTAGGAAAAAAAGCTCAAAATGTAACTTGCAAATAAAATGACCTGGGTAAGTTGGTTCCAGAACTCTCAGGAAACTAGAGGGAGGAAGCCAACGTTTCCTGAGCATCTGTGGGGTACCTGGCTCTGTGCAAGGTGATGTTTAAGCAATTTTCTCACATGATCACATGACATAGGTACAATTATGCCCTTTCACAGAAGAGACACCAGACTCCAAGGGAGGACAGCTCGGGCTGGCCAACCAGCCACTCTGCAGCAAAGCTGGATTTGAAGCCAAGACCCTCAAAGCCATTTTCTTTCCAAGAGGTTTTTGTTCGGCTAGCATTTATTTGGCACCCACTACATATCAGGTGCTTTGCCAGATGCCAGAGAGAGAGAGGAGGGACACAGTGTACAGCCTAGAAGGGCTAGAGACAGGTCCCAGGTGGGTGCAACATGCCCCGTCACACTACGTACCTGCACATCATAGGGACTATATTGCTATTACTGCAGTAGCTTGTAAAAATAAATAACACAATGAAGAAAAAAGGTTTTGGTGTAAAACCAGAAGTCCCCAGCATGACACGGGCAGCCCTCCCTCATCTGGTGGCCCCTGCCTGCTTCCCTGGCCTTGGGTCCTCACCCCCTCATGCTCAGAGCCAGCTCTCCAAGCCCTCACGCTGGGAGCCAATGCACACACAGCGAGAACACCCTTCTGCCCCCTTCACCAAGCAAACCTTCCCCTCGTCAGGAAGCCTTCACCAAGCCCTCCCAGGCAGGGCTGGTACCCCTCTCGCTGGGACACACACTGCACTTGTGTAACCTGCTGGGGTCCCATCCCCACAGCCACTTGTCCATAGCTCCTGTCACACTGTGCAAGCCTGGAAGCCAGGGGCTGGCTCCATCTACCTTTGAACCCCTCACGTCCAGCTCAGAACTGGCACAGAACTGGCACTGCTCAATGCTCAACGGGGTCACAGAGGATGCCCCAGTCTCCAAAGCTGTTCTTCTCCCTCTGATCACTCTCAGTCACCTGTCCTCCCACGGTCCTCTTGAGAGATAAGAACCAGTGTCCTCTGGTGGCCTGGGCAAGGCAGCATCAGAAAAGGGATGGCGCAGGAGGGACCCGTGACCCAGGGCTGACAACAGACAACCTCTCTTGAATGCACCAAAGAGAATTACAGAAATTTCCAAAAAGAAATGCTCAGCCTGCAACTGCCGTCTACCTCACTGTGATTTGACAAAACATTCCAACAATTTATTCCTCAGAACATCTGATAACAGAAGTTTCCTCTCAAGTCTTACCTTGAAGGTTTTATCCATAGAAGTTGAGAGAAGCATGTGGCTCTTAGAACGGACTGGACACCACTGAATGCTGTTTACAGGGCCCCTGTGGCCTCTCAGGTAGAAAAGCACTTTCGTAGGAACTGTGGTTTCTTTATAATGACTGCTCAAATATGGCTGAATAAAATCAGACGCTACAGGGGCCATACGGAGAGGGGCTGGGGCACAGCTTGCAGGTGGACCCTGTGGCTCCACGTCTTTACTCTTGGCTGTTTCTGTGCTTACTGCTTGCAGCTGTCTTAGTCTTTTCGGGGTATATGGTATGACACAGTCCTCACACCTTTTCTTCTGCAAACAGTTGCCATTTTTATCTGTGGTTTCAGATTCACTTTGAACATGGAAAGATGACTTGGGGGAACGCCAGGGGAGTTTTACTTGCTTAAAGCGGGAAGCTGCCAGGGGCGTGTGGCTGGCTGGAGCCTGGGTGGTCCACAGAGAAGAACGAGAAGGCCTGCTGGTGGGGAAGGTGACTTCAGGCTCCTTCCTGGGCCACTGCAGCCTCTGGCTGGGGCAAGATCCCGGATCAATTCTCCCAAGCCGAGCCAGTGGGAGACAACGGCCCCCTGGGTTTTCACAAGAGCCATGCTTTGTGAGCTGTGCCCCCTCTTTTGTCATATCCAGTACACCAGATGAAAAGTCCTGCCCAGGAGGTTTGGTCGCACCAGAAGTGTCTTTCATCTGGCCAGCATCATTAAAACTTCCTGCAGGCTCAGTCTCAGCTTCCGAGTCCGAATCGTCATAAGCCACTAACGAAGCCATTAAAGACACGGTTTCTTGCTGTCCTTCCAGGGCAAACTACCTAAGACCAAACAAAGTCAAGAGTCAGAAAATGTGCATGGAAAAATATTTGTGTAGTTAAAAGAAAACATGTCATCTACGAAATCTAAGAATTCAAGATTCACAAGAATAAACACAAAAACGAAAGGCTTTTCTATATACCAGGCACAATTAGAAGATGTAATTTTTAAAACCAAGACTATGGTATACCTGGGGATAAATCTACAAAAAAAAACAAGACCTACACAAAGAAAACTAAAACTTTGTCTGAAGGACATAAAAGAAGACCTAGAGAGACAATTTATGGACAGAAGGACACAAGATTTTAAAGATGTCTTTGGGAGACTGATTTTGGCAGTATGTATTATAAGTTTAAATACATAATTTTTACCAAAACAACCCTACTGTAGAACTCTATCTTATATAAATACTAGCATTTGTTTGCTAGATGTATAAATCTATAAAGATAACTGTATAAAGAAGGCCGTCAGCATTGCTTATTAACAACTGAGAAGGACATATATTTGTCAACGTGAATGAAGCTAGGTCTGAGAACACTGAAATGGAAAAAAGTCCAGGATCCACCAGGTGGGAAAAGCGTACCATCCGCCCCCTTCCTTCTCCCCTTGTGTTCTAGCCCTTCCCTCTTTTCTCTCTGCCTGGAACAGATAGCTTCTCTCTGATAGCCCATCTTCACATAAGCCAGTTGGAGAGACAGACCCACAACACAAGGCTGAGGCCCTGAGGCATCAGTCCACCCAAGGGCACTGGGAGCAATTCTGAGGTGTGATCCAAATCCACCCATTTCACCCCAAACACACAGATTCACACAACAGTGAATTTCTACTTTTTAAAAAGTTCTTCCTTAAATTCTGAACCATCATGTACAATAAATTGTTATCAACTAGTTTCTAGAAAGAAGTGCTTCGGGCCGGGCGCGGTGGCTCATGCCTGTAATCCTAGCACTCTGGGAGGCCGAGGCAGGAGGATCACTCAAGGTCAGGAGTTCAAGACCAGCCTGAGCAAGAGTGAGACCCCCTCTCTACTAAAAATAGAAAGAAATTAGCTGGACAACTAAAAATATATAGAAAAAATCAGCTGGGCATGGTGGCGCATGCCTGTAGTGCCAGCTACTCGTGAGGCTGAGGCAGGAGGATCGCTTGAGCCCAGGAGTTTGAGGTTGCTGTGAGCTAGGCTGACGCCACGGCACTCTAGTCCAGGCAACAGAGCGAGACTCTGTCTCAAAAAAAAAAAAAAGAAGTGCTTCAGTCTGGAGCTCAATATTTTAATTCTGTGCTGTTAGCACCAAGCACAATTAAGAGGAAAATAAGAATGCCAGGCACACCCAGGACAGCAGAGGGCGTACTGGAACAGCACAGAACACAGGCAATGGACCAACTTCCAAGAAAACCCGGTGTGCCCTATGTTAATAAACCATGCTGAACTCCTCTCCCGGCATTTGAGGTCAGGTCAACTTCCAAAGATTCCTTCCAGGTCCATTGCTAAGCCATTCCAGACAGCCTGTCTATCACCCACCTCTTCCCATAGACAATGGGTTTTCCTTGGAATTAACCACCCACCCCTTCCACACCTTTCCCACAAATGGCAACATTCAACTGAAGGGCTCCATTGCCATACAGGTCAGGTCATCATTCAATACACGTAGTCAGCCTCCTTCAATAACGCCGAACCCCCTCGAAGCCTAATCCAGGCAGGTAACAACTTCCACACACAAAGCCATAGTCTAAATAAAACTTCTAAAACCGGCCGGCTCATCTCAAATAGAACTACTATAATATGAGAGACTAATTAGGAACTACTGGAACCATGCACCGTGAATGACGTGGCATTTCTGTTCTCCAAATACTAAGCCTGGTCCCGACGCCAGTCTCGACTCCTGTGCCGAGGCACCACCCACCACAGCACCCCATTCCTTCCCGTCAGTGGGAACCCTCCAGGTTCCCACCAGGGTGCCCATCCTCAGCCATTAGCATGGATCCCCACCCAGTCACCCCCAGTGGTCGACCACAGCTGAAGATCCGAGAGTGGTGTGGCCCTGACAAGGCGAGACAGAAAGGACTGAATGAATGCAAGACAGTAGGGCTCCTGATACATCCTGCTGCACGTGCATTTCATTCACTCACTCAACAAACATCAAGGAAGTATCATCTACTCACCAAGCCCCACGCTGGGCACGAGGAACACAGCAGTGAACAAAACAGTAAGTGATGCTCACCACACTCACATGCCAGTGGGAAGAAACAGACCATAATCAAATGAAATAGAAGACGTCAGGTGGTGACAAATCCTGAGGAGAAAAGTAAAACAAAGAAGAGTGGGGGTAGGTGGGCTTAGGGTTGCAGTTTCACGTAAGGAGGCTGAGGCAGGCCTCAGAGAAGGTGACATCTGGGAAATGCCCTGGAGAAGGTGAGGGAGCAGAGGTGACAGGAGGTGCTGCAGACTGAACCAAAAGGACCAATTAAATGGGGCGAGAGAGGAGTCAAGGAAGATTCAAGGAAGACAGACAAAATTGGAGAAGGCTGGGAACTGGTGGGAACAACGTAAACTTTAGGAAGTGTTTGCTGCCTTTTCTGTCTCTAAAACAAAAGAAAATTGTTCATGGAAAGAGGGGAGTGATTAAACTAAGAGGAAGAGAGACAGCCAGATGGAAGAAAAGGCAAGGGCATTGGAGAAAAGAGGCTAAGGCAGGGAGAGTGGTATTGACAGTCATTAATTAGTATGTCAACTCCATAAGGGCAGAATTTGTGGTTTTGTTCACTATTCAATCTCCAGAGTCTAGACATATTTGTGGAATGCAAACTGGTGAGGAGAGAGGCAGCAACGGAAGTAAAAAAAAATAGAATATTCTCATCCAACAAACATTCCCTGATTACCTACTCTGTGTCAAGCCCCAAGGTGGGTCTGGTGTGGGCGGAGATTAAACACAAAACACGGATCCTGCCCCTAAGGCCACAGACCGATGAAAGCAACAAACAAGATACAATGAAAGATGGGTTTTGAAGGATGAATAGGAGTCAGCCGAGCTGTCAATGATAAGAGGTAAGGGTGGTCTAAAGCACTGCGCTTTCGGAAGGAACGGAAAATAAAAGGAAGACGAGCGGCGACGAAAGACCCCGCGCTAAGAGGCACGGAGCGTTCCGGGCGCTGCCCTGTCCCGGCCCGCTCCCGCCCGGGGCCCGCCGCTCACCACACACACCGGAAGCGCTTGGTTCTACCGGAGACCAACCGGCCTGCGCTCCGCCGCCAAGTCCCGTTCCGCCGCGGCGCCGGGGACGCCAGCCAATCAGCAGAGACCTCCGCCCCGCCCCCGAGTGACAGCCAATGATGGCGCAGCTGGGCCGGAAGTTGTTCCGGCCGGACGGCGTTTCCACGGACGACCGGGAGGTAACCCGAGGCTGAGCCGGCAACGCTGACTGGCCCAGCAGGGCCTGGTAAGTGAGGGGATGAGAGGGGGAGTGGTGGAGGGACGCTGGGGCGGCGCCCAGTGACTTGGCCTTCCTCGGGCCGCCTGCCGGAGTATCCTCTTCAGAGCCCGGCTCGCTGCCCGCCACGTTCTGGCACCGCGAGGGGCGCGGGGGCTGCCACGGACCCCCTCGCCCTCTCCTCCGAGCGCCGCCGACCCACCCTGTCTCCTACGCCCGCCGTCACGGGCCCTTCATCGTCCCCACCTCTTCCCCTTTCCCAAGGAGAGAGGCCCCCACTTTTATTTACTGCCTGCCGTGTACCAGGGACTTTGCCTGTAGTATCACACTTGGTCGCCTCAACCGTAATGTTAGGAGGCTTCTTTATGCCCATTTCATAGATGAGGAAACTGAGGGAGGAGCAGAGAAGTAACGTGACTTGCCCAAGGTTTCGAAGCAAGAAAATACCCAAGCTGGAATTGAAACCCAGGTCTCTCTGACCCCAGAACTCATGGTCTGTCCACTGCACTGCGTGGCCTCAGTGAATAACTGCAGGGAATTTGCAGTTCGCCCTTTCTGCCGCCCACGACTACACATAAACACAATTACACTGAAACTCAGGGTGGGGAACAGGAAGAGGGCGAGGAGGTTATATGGTTAGGCGATCCTGGGGTAAGGGGTGGCTGATGCAATGACTAGCTAATGGCTTGGTTCTCTGGAGGGTTTCATTGTTCTCAACCCGGCCCTCCCAGCCAACCCTCCCCTGATTGGACAGTCTCATCAAGAAAGCTGGTCCAGAGGCCCAAATGTTTCTGGGAATCTGGGTGATTTCTAAGAAACTTATGTGCATGTAGCTGAAAGGTGGGGTATACAAGAAAGAAAGAGAAGAGCCTTGTTTAAAAAGGAAACTGAAAGAAAGAGGGGAAGAGTATTAAAGACCACTTCTGGCTGGGCAGGGCATTCATAGCTGCTCGACTGCCCAGCGTGACCAGTGGCCACCTCTGCAGTGTCCCCCACAACCTAGGTATGTATTGCCGTCTTTGCCAGGCTTGGAGCTTGTTATTGTTTTTACCAGCCTTATACCAAAGTGCTGGAAACCGTGGTTAAGGGGGTAATGAATTATCTCTCTTAGGATTAGAGTATTGTGCATTTTATTTCATCCCGTTCTGGTAACCCAAAGTTCAAGTGATTCACTGCTTCCGTGGGGAACAGAGATACTGGATGAGCATTTGCCTGCTTGGATTCGTAGCTTGTCTTTCAGCACTTCATGTTGGCTGCCATATTCTTCACTGATGCAGCCCCTTCGTTAGTCAACATCTGAACATATTAGCATTCTTATTGTAATACCCCAAATTATGTAATGCCTGGCTTCATATAAATTAATGTCTTCTTTGCCTTTTAAGATAATGTTCATTTTAGTCTCTGGAGGGGAAACTCATCTCTCCTCTCAGTGTTTAAAAAAAAGTTGAACATGATCTGTTCCAAAGTTTGGGGTGTAAAGAACTCTTTGCTCTAATGAAGTCATTTTCTTGTCCTCTGGGAACTTGCCAGTCCAAAGCCGTTGTCACCTACATTCTGGGGCCAAGATAGGAAGGATGGTATTCCACATCCTGGTGGTATTGCAGGCATCCAGGAACTTCTGGGCCACCTGCCCTTCCTGGCTACTCCAGAATTGGCTATTTTGATGCCACCCTTCTCCAAATCACAGAATCAGTATATCCTGATCTTATCTGTGAAATGATTTCTCTACATCCCAAGGCATTATCATGTTCTGTTAAACAATTCTATAATTCTTTTTTCCACTCCTCATCCCAATAA